GACATTCTTCTTTACAAATCCTCGTTTTGTACTTCTAATTAGTGACCGTTGTTTTGTTTCGATCTCTCCGCATGCGTCACTTCTGAGCGGTGCATGCGCAAAGCTGACCTCATATGTATTTCCCCGGAACTGCTTCCATTTTACAACAGTGAGCGCAAGCTACATTAAAGTGATTATTACGTTTTGAATATGGATATTTTTCTTACAAAAACGCATCTATTCGCTACAGGAGGCCTTTGTTCACCCCCCGGAGCCATGTGAGACACTTTTTATTAAGGATGGGCGCTTTTTATTTAACTTCTTTTGGTCTGATGCATGCAACACCCGCTGAGTGCAACAATAGAGCGTGAAAGATCAAAGACAATGTTTTATATAAGTCTGACTGGATTCGTCTGAAAGAAGAAAGTCATATACACCTAGGATGCATCGGGGGTGAGTAAAACGCAGCCTAATTTTTATTTTTGGGTGAACTAACCCTTTAACTGTCCGTCTCGTCTTAACCAATTACAAGTGAACACTGCTAAATATAGTTTTGTGAACAATCACTCCAATCATTTTCAGAGGTGGTCAGAGAAGATGTGCCCCAGACAGTAAAGGACTGTTCCAACACACAGTCAGTGCACCAAAACAAGGTTTTTAAAGGTTTTTGGTGCTGTCATGCAAGATCCCATTTGATCAAAGACATAGCATGTTACCATGATATCATGTTCTAGCTGTATAGCTATGCACTATTCTAAGCTACACAGAAAAAAAAGGTACAAAAGTTGTTACTGTGGTGTTAATGTACCATTTAGGTACTAATATGCACTCGTTAGGGGTAAAAAAGGTACAAAGGTACCGCTTTTGTACCTTTTTTTCTGAGAGTGTATTTTGTAATATAAATAGTGTGAGTAGTATGTTCACACTGAACAAGAAAAAGTGCACTGAATTAACTCAAACCATTTGAGATACAGCTTTAGTTTTGCCATTTTTGGCTTTGATAAAAATTTAATTTAAATGAAACATTTTCGTGATTGAGACAAAATAATTCTGACAAACTTCACGTTTGTTTGCATGGTTAGAAGTACATTTTAGTTGTTACAGTGTTGTTATGGTTAACTAAAACTAAAAATGTGTAAAAAGTATTAAAAATTAGTTTTGTTAATTGAATAAAATCTGAAATGTAATAAACTATTACATTAAAAAAAACGTAACCGAGATTAAAACATAAATGAAAATTAGAAATGTTGTCTTGCCAACTAAGTTAAATTTAAAAAAAAAATAATAATAAAACTGAAGTAAAAAATTATAATAAAATAAATTAAAGCTAAATAGAAATATTAAAAAAATAATAATAAAGAATAAAATGACAAAAGCACAAAATTACAAAAAATTTAATTGGAAACTGAAACTGTTAAAATAAAAGCTAATTCATTATTTTTTTTAATTAATATTAATACTAACACTGAAATAATACTTAGTTATACTTAACACTTAATTATACCCAAGCGATGGATGTTAATACTAGGTGTAACAGGCCCAGAATAAAAGAAGTAAAACAAAAACAGTAGTAGTAAACAACATTAACACAAGATATTTATCATTTAACTACATTTAATGTAGTTAACCTATAAATCTATTGTGTTTATCTCTGCAGGTTGCGCTTGTGTTCCCCAACAATGATCCTGTGATGTTTATGGTGGCATTTTATGGATGTCTCCTGGCGGAGCTGGTGCCTGTGCCCATAGAGGTGCCACTCACTCGAAAGGTATTAATCAGCTTTACACCAGCACACAGATGACACTCTCACAGATTTCAATCACAATAGAGCCCCCTACAGGAAAAGACACAATACGACACCCTGATGTCCTGACATCACATCATTATCTTTTGGATTTCCAAAACTCAAAACACTGTATGGTATGGGCATAAATAATATACTGGTAGTCAAAAGATAAGTGCTGTTTTCTTGAAGATGTCAGTATACACTGGTACTGTGAGTATGTGAGCATGTATGAATAACCAGTCACTCAGACCTTGGGTTTTTCTCTTCTGCAAATGACCTGAATGCCTCCTGTCTAAAGGTTTCATTAGCTGTCTCTGTGCTGCTTTGAAGCGTGTACGGTTTGATTAATAGAGCTGATGTTCCTGCTGGAGGCAGAAGACTAATCTTTTAAAATGAAGGACACAAAAACACACGTTGCCTTAGTGTTGTGTTGTTGAGACTGTTATTGCAGGCCGTCAGATGAAAGACAGAGAGGGAGTGAGTGGACTGCAGATCAGTGTTGTATTGATGACTCTCTGTGTCTCCTCTCATCAGGATGCAGGCAGTCAGCAGGTGGGGTTTCTGTTGGGCAGCTGTGGGGTCACTCTGGCCCTGACCACTGATGCCTGTCAGAAGGGCCTGCCCAAAGCACAGACCGGAGAAGTTGTCACTTTTAAGGGTGGGTGATTCACGCAAACCAGTTACTTCATCTTTATTTAGTGGTGCTGTATTTTAGCCTCTGGTATAATGTGTGTGTGTGTGTGTGTGTGTGTGTGTGTGTTTTTACAGGCTGGCCACGACTGCTGTGGTTCGTTACTGATGGAAAGCATGTGGTAAAGCCTCCTAAGGACTGGCATCCTCCAATAAGAGACACTAGCAATGAGATCGCATACATAGAGGTCAGGACCACACTAACTTAAGGGATAATTCATCTGTCCATCCATCCATCCACCTATTCATCTGTCCATCCATCCATCCATCCATCCATCCATCCATCCATCCATCCATCCATCCATCCATCCATCCATCCATCCATCCATCCATCCATCCATCCATCCATCCATCCATCCATCCATCCATCCATCCATCCATCCATCCATCCATCCATCCATCCATCCATCCATCCATCCATCCATCCATC